CCCCCCTACCGAGCAGGACTATTTCAAGTCTTAAGTCAGAAACAACGTTACTGTAGAGGAAATGTGTGCCACCACATCCCGCAGCCCTTTCCCCCTCCCACACCTTTTCTCTCTATCGATCTCTATCTCACTCACTTTCTCTCTCTTCAAACCATCTCTTCTGCCCTACTCCTCTGCCACCCTTCCATACATTCTCTCGTAATCTTCTACCCCCCTCTCCCCACCCTTCGTCTTGTCACTGGTATAAGTTACTGGGTCATGTTATCATTCTTAAAACTCAAACGAAAGCAAAAAAGAACAAAAATAAGTTAACCCGCTATTGGTTCGAAAAGAAGTAAGTGAGTGAGTGAGTGTTTGTGTGTGTGTGTGTGTGTGTGTGTGTGTGTGTGTATGTGTGTGTGTTTGTTGTGAGTGTGTTTATGTGTGTGTGTGAGTGTGAGTGTATGTGAGTGTGTTGGGGAGGGGGGGGTGGAAGTGGGAGAGGGGGTATACTTCACATTTACCTCTATGTCTATAGTATCTGTTCGGGTGGTTGATGGACGCATCCGTTTTTGTTTTTTTTTTTGTTCTTTTTTGTTCTTTTTTTTGGTTCTTTTTATTCTTTCACTTTGTCTGCCTTGTTTTCTCCCTTCTCAAAATATCCATTGTCTCACTGACTAGCTTCTCTTTACTCAACCGGTACACCTCCAAGTCCCTTCGTTTGTGCTGGTTTCACAAGAACGACTAGTCGAGTATATTGTATTCGAATCTGTAGTCGAAGAAACCATAACGTGTTTTTGATCTTTGACCACCCCCTGCACACCCAGATAACAACGGATCAAGCAGCTTTAGTGGCAGATCTTCCCTGTGTATTACAAACTATATAAAAATCCGCCCGAGTGCGGACAGCTCAGTTTTCCAGCTGTGTTGGAAATTCAGAAGCCAGTCTCTGAGCGCTTGTTTTTCCACGTCTTTTATTACGCCAGCAGGTTGAACGTTACAGGTAGGTTTTATTTTAGTTTCAAGTTCAGAAGATAAAGGTAGTCAAGAACCTAACAGTAGTAATGTATTTGTTGGCCTGGTTAAGTGAAGGTTCTCCTGTTCCTGTATATCTACACACTGTTTACTTCTTGGCGCTAATGCATTGCTTGTCAACCTTTTTTGTTATAGCCAAAGCTTATTTTTGACATTTTTAAGAGACGTAATTTTGTATACAGCCAACCAACCTAATTATAGCACAAAACGTAGATCTATTTCCAATTATGTTACTACCCGGGAGACCCCACCACTTACAAAAATAAATAAAAATATCCTACAACTGCAAGTGACAAGCACGGCATTAATGTCACTGTACAGTAGCTGTAATTTGTAATTACATTTTTTAGTTCACTGAGTGAAGTGATGATGGTTTTTCAATTAATTAATTAATCCGATATTTTTTGTATTATGTTTTGTGGGGAGGGGGGGGGGTTCGTAATCTACGTAAAATGCGGTAGGTGTGTATGTCTAAATGCATACGAAATTTTGCTTGTGAGAATGTTGATAAAACATGACACCAGCATGGGACGATTCGGTTCGTAAATTTTAATAATTTCATATCTACCTTAGGCAGTTCGGAATCTTAGAAATCTATCTCTGTTAGCATGCAATATACGAATACATAAAAGAGGCCTAACACACACACACACACACACACACACACACACACACACACACACACACACA